GTTTTCCTGAAAGTTCACCGACATAAAAAAATGATCATACAATCACGGGGAGACTGCAGATTCAATACAGAATTGAAGACCACCAAAATCGTTTTTACTGTGCTGGCAATATTCATCATTCTTTGGACACCCTACACCGTTGTCTACGTGTCGTCATCAAACAGTGGCAACATGAACACCATCCCACCCAGCGTGTTCAAGTTCTGTGGATTCCTCACTGCAATGCATTCAATGTGCAACTCTATTATCTATTTTACAATGACCAAAAGCTTCCGAAAGATTGCTGTCAAGTTGCTGCGAAAAATCTTTACATGCGTTCTCCCGGCGAACGAGGAATCGGCCGGAACAACAGAGTCGCTTTCTTGCGAAAAAGCAAGCTGTTCTGCAAAAATAACTCCTCTATCAGACAAAAAGGTTTTGCCTTTGCTAGTTCTTACGAGTCGAGCACCCGGAGATTCGAAAATATAAATGAGTAACTCAACGCATTTAGGACTCTTATGGAAACTGCGATCGAGTTACATACAGAAAAGACCTCGCGTTATTTCTAGAGCTTACGTAGGGGTAGCTTCCTGCATCACATAGGCCTCAAGATATATTGTGAACTTTATTTAAACACGGATTCAGTATCATTAGGACAAAATGATCTTCCCGAGAGCTGTGTATATAAAAAAAACTAGATTAAATAGTAATAGGAAAAATATACTGCAAAACTAAGAAGTGTTCTAAAAGAGAGGAATCTGTGATAAGATTTTGAAATTTATTGAATCACTCTTCGGTTCCAAATACAGAAACCTAATTTTGATTGTTATTTCCCTTTAACATTCTTAATTAACAGTTTATGAGAAAAGAACGAAAAGTTGATGAATTCTGAAACTGGAAAAGTATGCCATGCGGCTTCGGATCAGTGGCGTAACTACTATGGGCTCGGACCGGGAGAACCCGGGGGCCCCCAACCCCAACGGGGGCCCCCAGGCTCAGGCTATAGCCTATAGAGCAACAATGCCATTCTCTGACCATCAGAATTCTGTAAAATCTC